GGTTCAAGCTCACCAGCTGCTCCTTGGAAACCCTATACAGGGTCACTATGGGTCGGAACCGACTTGACGGCACACAACAACAATATATATATATATATATCCACTTTTATCATTTTAATTGTGGCAAGGCAAACCTGGTATTATCTATTCAATCATGGTCAAAAGCAGAACTCAGATTCTTTTATTATTATGTTTACTTTTAACACTTTAGTACCTGGTGATTCATATGTACTTCATTTTAAGTTTTCAGCGATGATTGTTGAGATAGTTTCTCCAAGGATTGTTGCAATAGTTTCTCAGTAAGGTGCAAATTATAGTGTCTCACAGGATTTATTGGAAATTGTTTAAATTTTTGTTGCACATTTCCCCCCTCCTCTTTCTTCACCATCCTCCTACTCGCCTTGTAATATCCAACAACTTTCTAGTGCGTAATACTGTAAATATTCTATTAATGTGGCTTTTGACATTAAGTTTTTTTCTTAAAGGAAGGTTTTTTAGGAGGAGGCAGATAGAGGGCAGGAGGTAATGAAGATGACTAGGTCCACAGTCCCACACCTGCTGCTTCTCTTCCTCCGCACATGTATCGGCAAGTTTCCTAAAACCTCCAAGTGTTTTCACAACTGTTTCAATAATTGGTGGAGTTGTTTGGAGATGAAGTAGCTACAGGAATTGCTTGTTAACTGAGTACTTTTACATTAAGGTTAGAAGCCCTGGGGTATCGCTGTAGGATAAGCATTGGACTACTAACTGCAAGGTTGGGGGTTCAAACTTATCAGCTGCTCCTTGGAAACCCTAATCAAAGGGTCACTATGAATCAGAACCTGGTGTGGTGCTGTGGGTTAATGTGCCAGACTGCAAAGCTCTTTGAACTGCAAGATTGGTGGTTCAAGCTCACCAGCTGCTCCTCGGAAACCCTATACAGGGTCACCATTGGTTGGAACCAACTCGACGGCACTTAACAACGAGTCGGAACCAACTCAACAGCACTTAACAACAACACCACCAAAGTGAGGTCAGGCTTTGTATTTTAGGAAGCACAGCAAGAACTAATAATCCCAGCTACACAGGTTGAATTAGTAAAGTACTTTCCGGAGAAACACGAATTGTTTAATTCTGTTTAAAGCAATATTATACTATATAGTTCTTTCCAATCAGGGCAGTCACCACAGAAACCATATGCTAACCCACATTTTGGATGTAAAGGTGAGACACCTGAAGGAGTGAGAAAGACATAGAGATGTCACCAAAGACACTTCAGCAAGGGAAGAAGACACGGAAGATACAGCCCTGGGTCTGACATTTCCATGCTGTTCCTTACTCGGGTCATAATGGATCTCAGACTTTGTGTTATCACTATGAGTCCAAACTGACTAGATGACAAGTTTTGTTTAGTTCTTGGTACTTCTCTTAGAAAGACGACAGTCTTTCTAGCCATAGTTCATTTGTTTTTGCCCTTAAACTTCTGTAGGCCACACTCCAAGTGAAGATCCCAAAGGTTGCAAGTTCAGTGGCCAAAACAGCCTTACTAAGCCATTTACCACTCATTCAACATTCAACAAATCAATAATGGATTTCTCCTTCAAAGGAACTACCAAGGTGTTAGAAATATATGTTCCTTGTTAAAGAGTGTATAATCTATCAATTTCGCAGGTTTTTGCTTTAAAATTCTATTTTGTAGGTGTGTACATCTGGCATAGTTTTCTAATAGCCAGAAGCTACTGGCTATTGCTGTTGCTAGCAACAGGCAAAAAAGGAGTCCTAGTGGTGCAATGAATAAGGCTCTTAGCTGCTAACTGAAAGGTCAGAGGTTCTAACCCACCCATGACTCTGTGGGAGAGAAAAGCTGGAGATCTGCTCCCCTAAAGGCTAAAATATTCCCCTGCCATTGAGTGTATTCCACCTCATTCAGTAAATCTGTACTGAAGTAGACAACCTCATCATAATCCCACACAGTGCCTGATGGGTTTGAACTACCACCAACTTTGTGGTTAGGAGCTCAATGTCTAACCCAAGCATCAACAGGGCTCCTTCCCCTAAAGATTTGTTGTTTTTAAGAGCTATGGAGTCGGTTCCAGTTCACTTCTACACCATATAGGGTTTCCGAGGAGTGGCTGGTAGGTTTGAACCAGTGCCCTCATGGTTCAAACTGGCCTTGAGGTCCAGCACATTATCCTGCTGCACTACAATAGGACTACAAAGCCCAGTTTTACTGTGGCCCTGGACTGCAAACCACAAGGTCGGTGGTTCTGGTTCACTGGAGAAAGATGAGGCTTTCTGCTCTTGTTAAGATGTACAGCCTCGGAAATCCACTACAGAGTCGCTATTAGTCAGAACTGACTTGACTGCACAGGGTCACTATTGTCCTGGTGTGGTACTGTAGGATAAGCACTAGACTGCTAACTACGAAGTTGGCAATTTATACCCACCTGCCACTCCCCAGAAATCCTTTACAGGGTCACTATGAGTTGAAAACTGCTCAGCAACACACAACAACAAAGGGTCACTAGAGAAGCCTTGGTGACACTGTAGAGTAAACATTGACCTGCTAACCACAAGGTCGGCAGTTCAGCCCACCAGCCACTCTGAGAGAGAAAGATGGTGCTTTCTGTTTCTATAAAGGTTTTCAGCCTGGGAAACCCTATATAAAGTGTCTCTATGTCACAGTTGACCCGATGGCTGTGGATTTCATTTTGGATAAGGTCACTCTAGGAGCCCTGGGGGAGCTGTGGGATATGTATTATTAGGTTGCTAACCTCAAGGAGCTCTGGTAGCGTAGTGGTTACAAATCGGGCTGCAAACCTTACGGTCAGCAGTTCGAAACTACCAGCTGTTCCGCGGGAGAAAGATGAGGCATTCTGCTCCCGTAAAGATTTACAGGTTTGGAAACCCTGTACAGGGTCGCTATGAGTCGGAACTGACTCGAAGGCACATAACAACAACCTCAAGACCAGCGGTTCAAATCTACCATCTGTTCCATGGGGAGGAAAGGCTGTAAGACTTCCGACTTGGCCATCCTAAGGAGCAGTTCTGCTCCGTCCTATAGAGTTGCCATAAAGTCAACTTGATGGCAGTGAGTTAGAGTTAGGGAGTCGGAATGGCCTCAACAGCAAACAGTACAAACAGCAGACACAGCCCAAAGATGAAATGGAGTAGTCACCAAGTGAGGTTTGCTGAAAGGGTTAAAACCCATTAAGCCATGCATTGCTAGTGCAGCTGTTATGAGTCAGGCTGCTAAAAGTCAGCGGTTTGAAACTACCAGCCATTCTGCGGGAGAAAGATGAAGCTTTCCACTTCCATAAAGATTTGCAACCTTGGAAACCCTATGCAGGCTTGTTATGAGTCGGAACTCACTCCAAGGCACACCACCACCACCACCACTAATTCACTGAATGCATTTCTGCTGCATAATAATCAGTCAGATGTTCCTACTGACATTAGTTTCAAATAAACCATACAGGCTAATTCTTATTTCAGAGTTATTTGAAGTAAAACAAAAAAATTGTTGGTTCCAACTGCATCCATGTAATTTCTCAATGAAACCCACCTTCATAAAACTTCAATGATTATTTCATCGTGTGTGAGTATTAGAGCCAAAATTATACTAAAATTGAGATAGAACCCTTTGATGGCCACTTGAAATAAACTAAATGGAAGGGTATTCGATTTAACCATTTAACTGTATATATTTTAAGGCCATTGTTAGGAAATGATTTAGAATCACAAAGGAAAGACATTTTAAGATCGCTGCATATTAACAATTCCATAAACTAGTTGATAATTTAGTGCATGCCAAGGGAAAATATTTCACACTGTATTAATGCCCCTAAATTGTGGTCACTCCACAACATGTCCAATGACAGAGACTCTTAATTCTGCAAGTAGTTACAATACAGTGAACTACTTCACCTGACTCTTTTAGCCACACTCTTTGTAACTCCTACCAAACTATAATGCCTGAAGAGTCTGGGTAAGGAAACTTGGAGAAGATGCTGATAGCATTGTATGTTTTAGTTGTGAGTGATTGTCAACAGGGTTAATTGTGAAAACATGGAAACTTAACGTGGTTATAAAATGAGCCATCTCAAAAGCAGGAATAGGGTAATCTCGCTGCCAAAGAAGAAAAAGAGCCAGGAGTGGAGTTCATCCTTTGGACCAGAGATCCCTGTGTTGAACCTCCTTGACCCCAAGACAGACAGCTGGAACACCAGAGGAGTGGCAGAGGAGTAGCAGCGACAGCGGAACCAAGAACCAAAGTACAAGACACACCAATGGGCTTCCCACCACATGGAGCAAGTCAAGCTGAGAGACTTTGGGCGGGAGACTTGCTAACAGAGTGGGGTGCTGCCAAACACTGAATTGGAGGAGCTAGGTTTGCTGACCCACCAAGCTAGAGTCGAGTGCCTTCAGGCTGAGGCTTATGGTGGAGTAGCATTCCCTGCGAGCATTTAGCAGCAGCCCTAAAAGAGCTTTGTAACATTGCCCGGGCCCATTGGCGCAGCTGACGAGAGTCTGGCCTGAGAAGAATTGTGTCTGAGCATTTCTGAACCTGAATTTTAACTGTGGTTCTGTAGGATAAGCACTGAGTTACTAACCACAAGGTCGGTGGTTCAAACCCATCAGTCACTCCTTGGAAACCCTACACAGGGTTACTATGAGTCACAACCAACTTGATGGCACTTAACTTCCTTAATAAACCCCATCATTTTGAGTTTGGTGTCTGAGTTCTGGGTGGTCATTACAATGAATGATCGAACATAGCTGAGTACAGATGTTGGCGTCATTATTGGCAACAGCCAGTCCATCTTCAGTGCCTGTTAGCAGAATAATATGCTTCCTGGAATTCTTACTGAATGGTCCTCATTGTAGCCCTTTGGGCTCCCACCCTACTGAGATTCATACCCACTGCCTTGTCATATAGTCCTGTTACCACCCTAGAAGACAGAGGGGAAAGGTCAATTTGGACAGTGTAATCAGAGAGTATTGTCAATGAGAAACAGTACCTGAGGAGGGCACTTCAAGAAGGGAAACATTTGAAGAATGTCCTTCAGAGGTATTCTGCTGTTGATCAACTTTCTTCTTAATTCCAAAGTTTGGCTCATCCTGTTGTCAATTTCTTTCCAGTCCTTTTCTGATTTTACATATTCTTGCTGGAACCATTTAATATGCTCATTTACCTCAGAATCTAAACAAACAGCTTCTTCCTGCAAGATATTTTCAAAAGATCAATATGTTCCATGCTTCAAATGACAGTTTGGCAACTTCATGAACAATTAAAACTGAGTTGTGCACTCTGCTGCTAACTGAAAATATCGGAGGTTTCAAGTAAAGACCTAGAGTTTCCTTAGTAAAAAGGTCTGGCGATACATTTCTACAAACTCATTGCAACCATTATGACACACGTGGGGTCACCATGAGTTGAAGTTATCTGGATGACAACCGGTCTGGTTTGGTCACTGTGTACTATTAATAATGCACCTATAAGGTAAACATCACCCTGTGTGATTACCTTTGGCCTTGAGCATTTGAAAATGGACAGTCTTTAGCATTGCAAACTAGGTTACCATGAAATTATAATTTGTCCTCTTGATAAATCTGAAAGAGTAACTTTATTTTCTACACATTTTTTATATGGAAACATAGATAACGTGAAGGTTCAAATCTAACAGGAATGTTTAATCAGTGCATCATTTTTCCCCCCCTACGGATCTGGTGTTTATTATTAATGCTTCTTAGGCAAGGGTTTCAAGGTAAAAACAGAACACACAAACCCTTTCAACAGTAAGATTTTAAATGTCAACCTTGACTGGTATTTAGGATGCTCAGAACACACTGATTCCAGCACTTTTATACCCAGAGGCACACAGGAAATACCAGGCTGGCGATATGCATATACATTTTAGAAGACAAAATGTTAAAGAAGAGATAGAAAGTCTTGTGTTTATTGTGATTTGTCTTTTTCCTTAAGAAAATGCCACTGGACATTTAAGAGCTACTACTGATTTGAACTTTTACTCCCATTTTCATGCCTTTTTATAACTGTAGCTCTATACCGTGTATCCTAAATTAAAGTCAAATAATGACAATGGGTATGCCGCTGAAGCATCACACTATCAATGATATATAGCATATACTTTGTAGCGCTGTGGGCTAAGGTACGGGACTGCAAAGTCAGTTTGAACCACAACGTCGGTGGTTCAAGCTCACCAGATGCTCCTTGGACACCCAATACAGGGTCGCTATGGGTCAGAACTGACTTGAGGACACTTAACAACAACAAAAACAACAGTTAGATAATAGACTCCCAGTGTAAAGTAATAAGAAAACTTAAGTAAACTAAATAAAAATATGATTGATTTACCCACTACATGTCACATGTATGTATAATAAAATCTGAATTTGGGGACCACTGTTAACGGGAGACCCAAAATAGAAAAGAAGTAGACTTTTACAATGATTCATATTAACAGTTTTATAATCTACCTAGATTATCTAAGTACATAACAAAATATAAAGAAGAAAGCATTGGTCATTTCAAAAAATGCAGAAAAAGCATTTTATAAAATTTGGCACCCCTTTATGATTAAAGAAAAAAATAAACTTTTGTCAAAATAAGAGTAAACATTTTCAAAGCCTCTAAAGTTATGTACCAGAACCCTAGAGTGAACTTTATTTTTAATGGTGAAATTTTAGTTGAATTCTCTTTAAGATTTGAAACAATATAAAGATGTTCTATTGTACTCTTATACAGTCTTATACTGAGATGCTAGCCAGAATAGTAATACAAGAAATAAAGGGATAAAACTGTAAAGGAATGAACAAAATTATCATTATACAGGAATGATGTAGTTATTTAAAAGAAACCTCAGGATAATGCATACATATATTATTAAAATTAAGGAGCCAGTTCAGAGTAACTTCATACAAGAGCTGTTACCCAGTGTAACCATAACAAAAATACCACAACTTGAAAGATTTACAGCCTTGGAAACACTATGGGGTCATTCTACTTTGACCTACAGCATCGCTATGAGTTATATGATTATACATATATAATATATAA